CTTCCGATGCAAGTTTACTTGCACTGCCCAACACCTACTTCTAAGAACAACCAAATATTTATTTTATATTTAAATTAAAATTTAAAAAAGTCTCCTAACATCACTTGTAATTAACTATGTACATGCTTCGATCTATGTTTATTCGTGTGTTTGGATATATGTTAGAATCATGTTGAACATGAATTTTGCACTTTCCATTGCATAAATAGAAAAACTATGTCAGTAATGGATTATGGATTGAGTTGAAAGTGAATTATGTTCAATAAAATTCACAATTAATTTACTTCCAAAAACGAAAAACCAACTATTATTAACTTTCCAAGTTTTGCTATGTGTGAAGTGGAAGTAAACAAGCAAACAAGTTAAATATTTGCACAAAAACAAACTTATCATTCATAATAATTTCACTTTATTAGATTTGTCTTTAATAAGAGCACATCTGGATTATGTCACAAAAAAAGTTGTTTAATAAGTGTTCTCAAAGTAAATTTTTCTATCATCACCATATTTGGTATATTATCAATTTTGGTGTTTATTTAGTTGTTACAATTTTATTCTAAAAAATTCTTAATAAATTAAGAGGAAGACATTTTATAAATGATCATTGGTCTCAAATCCTAAACAATGTGATACTTGCATAATAAAATAGTAAATATATTAATTAACATGAGATTGTTTGAAAATTAAATTAAAGGTGTTGAATTTAAATAGTAATTAACATATAATTGTGTTATATATTTGGAATAAGAATTTTATTAATTGTAAGCGAATTTTTTTATTGAAAAAGTATTTGTTTTGGTCTTATTTTTTTATTATTATTACATATGCTTTTAGTTTTAAAATTTTATAGATTTTTTTATTAATTTAGTTCTTAAAATTTTGTCAATTAATAGTGACTAAAATTAAATAAAATTTGTTCAAAATTTGACAGAAGTTTAAAATTTTAAAAGCATATTCAATTCAGTTTTTTAACAAAAATTGTAGAATAAGTGCAGGTCGTGTAGTTTTTTATGTGATTATTACTGTGCTATTAAAGGTTTTTATGCTAATTGTTATGAAATTTTTAGTAGTAATATTTGTTTTTAATTTGGGAGAGGGTGATGGTTAAATGATTCATAAGTTAATTAATTTTTAATGTGAAAATTTACGGGAATGATATATAAATAATATTAAATGTTTATTTAAAATATATATAAAAAAAAGTTTACCTCTAGTTTTTTAATTATTGTGTAAAAAGAAATCATTGTTCTTGTACGATGATTGATGAAATTGTATTATTTTTAAGAGAAAAAAAATCCATTCGAGTAACTAATTCTTACTTCACTTACAAATTGTAAACTTTAAAATAATCGTAATTAATTTTCAAGTGTTTTACTTTTACAACAATGAAGTTTACTAATAAATCATTCCATCCTTCTAGCCATTAACCAGCACTTGATATGGTAAAATATAATTTCTTTTGTTGTAAGAAGTATTTATCGTTAGCTAATTAACTATTTTTTTTAAAAAGACTCCTTCCTATTACTAGTCTACAATATAGTCTAGAGGAATTTGAGAACTAATATAGAAAAGCAAGCAATTGAGCATGTCCATGTGTTCTTGAGCTGCAAACCTATATTTTTTTTTCTAAGAATTAAACTCGATCAATTTTATTTTTTTTTTATTTTTAGTTCTCATAACAACTACTACATATTTCACATGAGTTTTTTTCACAAATAAAGCCCAAAACAAGTAAAATATTTACTATTTTGACAAATGACAATTAGACAATACCTTAATACTGTGTTGTATATTCTAATATCAACATATGTATCATGAGATGATAGTTATAAGCATAGTTTTAAAAACCGGACCGGTCATCGAACCGGTTAAGGTATTGGGTCAGTGGGTCAAAGGTTGAACCGGTGGGTCACTGGTTGAACCGCATGACTCGATTTTTATTTATTTTTATTAAAAAATATTCATATTAAATATATTTATACTTATAAATTTTAATAAATTCATATCTTATTTTAAATTTAAATTTTTCTATCTTATTTAAAATTATTTTTATTTTTATTTTGTAAAAAAATACATAAAAAAATTACATGTTAAACGGTATATTAATACAAATTAAAAATATAAATAATATGTACATATATAATATGCTTGCAATTAATATCACAAAATAATATATGTAATATTTACATAGATATTGAATTATTAAATATATAATTTAAAATTAATAATATACTATAAAAGTTATTTAAGTTGTATATATTGCAAACAAATATATTAGAACAAGTAGTCATTGTTATATTTAATAAGACTCCTTGCTTTTTCATTAAGAGATTCAATTTTCATTATTATTTTTGTGATTTATGGTCCCTTAAAAAAATTTAAAAAAAAAAAAAAAAGTGGTTGAACCGGTTTGACCCACCGGTTCACCGGTTGAACCGGAAAATTGACCGGTTCAATCCGGTTTGAAACGGGTCGACTGCATAACCGATCCAACTTAAGATTCGGACCGGCTGGACCACCGGTTCCCGGTCCAACCGGTCCGACCGGCCGGGTCGGTCCGGGTTTTAAAACTCTGGTTATAAGTAACAAATTAAATCTTTTCTTACCTAATTATAAGTAATAATTTTTTAAGTTATTTAAACATAATTATACCCAACTAATCTATGTGATGGAGATGCATCGATAAAAAAGCACACACAATATTCATTAATTTTGCAAATCAAATGTTTGTTTCACATCATCGACAAGCTATGTTCTTTTATTTTTTCAAGACAACCACTCCATGCATGCATATGCATTCATCCTTCTAATGCACTTACTATTTTTGCTCTTCCCGAGCTCAAGGAGTCAACCTGTAAAAAAAAATAACATCAATGAATGTAAATCATTAACATTTATGATGGCTATTAATATTATGTGTATGGATTAATGAAGAAAAAAAAAAGCATAAATGAAAACTTACTTGTTGCAATCGGCGTTCTTACTTATGGGAAAACCCAAATCAAGACGACACATTCGAGGAAGTGAAATGGCCCTACCTTGGACAAAGTTAGGAAGGTGAGTTACAGCTTCTTTAATGCATTTACATGCAGCACGTCGTTCATCTTTGGTTGTTGCTGAAGCTTTCAGTTCTTTAACACCTTCGCAACACGCCGCTGGAGGACCACCGGCACTAAATCCACCGCTGAGGTAGTCTGTGCATGGTTTCAATGATCTTTTCGCTGCTTCACAATCGTAGCCCTTTCCTGCTGGCTTTGTAGCTGTTGTTGTCCATGCAAATACCACTAGCAGAGCTGAAATTGCTACAAACACTCTCTTCATTTTGCAAAGATAGTTTCTGTGATCTCAGTCAAATTTCTAGGATTCACTTGTGCTTTGATATATGTGGATGAATGGAAGGTTAATTAAGAGAGGTATTAATAATATGGCTATAAATGAAGGACATTAATTGTTAACTTAATTTAATGATATAGCTATAGTTATGGAAGTTTGACTTCTTGTTTTTTACTTGGAGGGTGTTCCTTGGAGAAGGCCACGTACACAAAATGGTACTAACTCGTATTTTGTTCATATTCTCCTTTTGCATTGATGATTTTGAATTGTAATTATATTGATTTTGTTTGTTTCAAGCATTTAATTCCATGTATAATAATTTCAAAAATATTATGAGTATTAAATTTTTTTCACAAGCATTTATGAAAAAAAATGAAATTAATTTTTTAATTAGCTAAAATTGATTTGTTCATAAGTTAACTTATAAAACTCATTTATTAACTTTTTTAAAATCTTACTTTTAACTTATGCATACATTAGTTTTAACTTATGGAAAAATTTATTTTGATTTTTCTTCCTATTTTCTTTTTTTATAAGAGTACTTATGGATAATTTTATTAATATATTATAAATGTATTCAAACAAAAAATAAAATAAAATAATTCATCTTCATAAAGAAATTTTCTTCTGATTCTTTATTTATAAGTTACATTAAACATCTTTTTCACTGAAAAAAATTTATAAGTACTTCTAAGAAAAAAAATTATAAAAATGAAATAAGTTTATATTATGCATAAATATTTTGTAAGCTTATTTCTTATTAATTTACCTAAAATCTAATTATTATTTTATGTATAAACTAGTTTTAGAAATGTTTAGATACAAGTCATGATTGTTTTTGAATATTTCTTTACTAAAAACAAATAGTTATTTTCTGTAAGACTCACGACCTCTCCCTCTCTTTTCTCATTCTCTTCACTCACACTCTCAATTCTCTCTTCCCTTTTCTTGCTTTGGTCTCAAGTTCTCTGGACTTGTTGGGTGTGTAGGTGCTGATTCGTAGTGTTGGAAGCTAGTTGAAGTTCTCTTTCTCCGTTGGTCTCCGTTCGTCCTTCTTCTTCTTCTCCGCTTGCCCATAACTTGAAATTTCTTCTCACCGAGGTAAGGGAAGCTAGGTTTATGGCTGTTTGGGTTAGAAATGAGTTCATAAACTCATTGTGTGATTGATTATCTACTGAATGATGAGCTATTGTGATGAAAATTCGTTTTCGGTGTTTTCGGGGTTTTTGGTGAAAATTCAGGTTTTTGCTTGTTTGATGGTTGCATGTGTAAAAAGGTGGTATTTTTGAGTTGTTGATTGAAAATGTGGCACTTTGGATGGATTGCATGTGCTTGGAGTGTTGACTTTTGCAGGTTTTAAAGGAAATTTTTGAACTTGGGGAGTTGTTGCTGAGTATCACGCCGGGCACAGTTCTTCGCGTCGGCGCGTGACCATCAGAGGGCTCCATTTGGGCAAGCCCGCCGGGCGCAAGGGTGTGTGCGCCAGGCGAGCTTGAGAATGTGAGCCTCTGGATGGCCCACGCCGGGCGTGGCTTGGACCGCGCCGGGCGCGATATCAGGGTGTTTTATGTTTTGGGGATTTCTGGTGCTGCGCCGGGCACGACCATGTTGCGCTGGGCGTGGGAACTCTTAGAGAGTCTCTGCAAGGGAGGCGTTGGGCGCAATTGGTATTGCACCGGGCGTGAGACCTTGGAGGTCTCTACCTTTCCCGTGCTGAGCGCGAGTTTGGGCACGCTGAGCGCGTGAGACTCCTTAGAGTCTCTGCCTAGGTTTGCGCTAGGCGCAATTGGTTTTGCGTCAGGCTTGAGCCTTAGGCTCTCAGGATGGTCTACGCCGGGCGCGAGTACTCTTGTGTCGGGCGTGCTAGTCCCTGGTGCTAGGCATGGCAATGGGACGGGGCGAGGGCGGGTTTTACGTTCCCCGCCCCCGCCCC